CCTTACTCACCACTGGACCAGGGAGCCCTCGGTCCCCGGGGAAGCCACGCAATCCGGGGGGGCCGTCCTTCCCGGGGAGGCCGGCAGGGCCTGGGTCCCCCTGAAATGAGAGCCACAGGTGGTGAGCAGGGCCAGGGCCATGGGAGCTGCGGGAGGGGGGACTTCCGGGCGCTGGGCTTTAAAGGAACCGGAGTCCCGACTGGACTCGCTGGTTGGCAGCTCCGCGCCCTGGAGCGTGGCCCAAGCTGGCACCTGGGGGCCTGCGATCAGGCCGCCGTGTGTGGTTCTGGGGACGGGGGTTGGACAGAGCGGTTCCGCCCATGTCCGCCTTCCTGTGGACTTGGGGTCCTCAGAAGAGGCAGCCACAGCCAAGGGCTGGGGCATCGCCCCAAAGGCAGGCGGCGCCGAAGGCTCTTGCTTCAAGCCTCAAACCACATTCTGCCAAGAGGCCCCCCGAGCCTGAGCCTTCTCGCGGGTGCATTAAAGCTGCGATCTCTTCCAGAACTTTCTCTGGGGCCCAACATGGGAGCGTTGGGGTCTCCGAACCGGCTTGCCCTTAACCTCCTTTCCAAACTCGGAGCGGCCTCCTCGCACGGGGACCCACACCTGCACCTGCCTGTTCCATGTGCAGACAACACCTATTAACAGGCCACGCACACACACATCTGCTTTTCGAGTATGTATGTATTCAGGTATATACACGCACACGCACACACACACACATACACATACGTGCGTGTAATGTTTTCAGTATTTCTTCACTGGCTGTACTTTACTTTATTATTAAGTCTGCTCCCTTGCACGTGGCCGTATAAAAGGTTGGAGAGCTCACATTTCCTGTGTCACTCACAGGAAAATCCCGCGGCTGCCCCTCCCAGGTGCCACGCAGACACAGCCTCCCTCTCAACTGCCCGGTCCCACTGGGCCTTCGCCACCCGCTGCCACTCAGGACAAGCTCCCGTCCACCTCCCCCCAGGCCTCCCTCCGCCACGGCCTTCCAGGACCCACGGCGGGACCCCGTCTTCCCTGCAGGGTGGGTTCTGAGCCAGAGGACGGGAAAGGCTGTGGGGCAACACACTCACCGCGGGGCCCGGCGGGCCTGGGGGGCCCTCGCTGCCTTTCAGTCCAAGGCCGAAGGCTCTTGCTTCAAGCCTCAAACCACATTCTGCCAAGAGGCCCCCCGAGCCTGAGCCTTCTCGCGGGTGCATTAAAGCTGCGATCTCTTCCAGAACTTTCTCTGGGGCCCAACATGGGAGCGTTGGGGTCTCCGAACCGGCTTGCCCTTAACCTCCTTTCCAAACTCGGAGCGGCCTCCTCGCACGGGGACCCACACCTGCACCTGCCTGTTCCATGTGCAGACAACACCTATTAACAGGCCACGCACACACACATCTGCTTTTCGAGTATGTATGTATTCAGGTATATACACGCACACGCACACACACACACATACACATACGTGCGTGTAATGTTTTCAGTATTTCTTCACTGGCTGTACTTTACTTTATTATTAAGTCTGCTCCCTTGCACGTGGCCGTATAAAAGGTTGGAGAGCTCACATTTCCTGTGTCACTCACAGGAAAACTGAGAAGGGAAGGCCGGCTCATTTTTATGCTAATCCACAGGAATTCCGACCACCCCCTGGGGCACCCAGGCTGGGGCTTCCCGGGGAACAGAGGGACGCAGAGCCAGGGCACTGGCCGGGAGGGAAGACAAAGAGGCAGCCTTCTTTGTTGTCATTGTCTATTCTTTTGTCCCTAACGGTGGGGCATTGTTTAAAGGGTCGCTTTCCAGAACACACAGACAGAACACTGCCCCAGGCGGAAGGGCAAGGACGGTTTGATCCCCAGACCCTTCAGGTCCAGCGCTGCGGAGGGTCAGCCCATCCCCTTTCTAATGGAGCAGCAGGGGCTAAGCTCATGGTCAGGGCAGTGGCTGGCATGGGGAGCGCCTGTCCGAGAAATGACGCGTCCATCAGCGAAGAGCAGCAGAAAACAGACCACACACAGCAATGATCCCGGGGGAAAGTCCGGGCTGGCGAGGAGGTCTGAGCGACTCACCTTCGTCCCTTCTTTCCCAGCAAGGCCCGGGAGGCCCTGCTCACCTGGGGGGCCCGGGGGCCCCGGGTGGCCACGCTCGCCCATCGGGCCAGTCTCTCCGGTGGGACCCTGTGGGAAGATCAGCATCAGCCACAACTTTCAAGGGACGCCCAAGGGAGCCACCTTCTGTTCCTCAATCTAAGGACAGGCCTGGCTGCGGAGGCCGAGGGCCCACGGTGCGCCCACACCCTCGCTCTCGCGTGGCTTTGCAAGTCTCCCCTTCTGGTCAGAACCCAGGAAGGAGAAGCCCAGAGGCGCCATGCCCTGGTCCTGTTTCCCGGGTGTCGCAGGGAAACAGGGCAGCGAGGGCGGCCACGTCTGCCACGGGAGCGGCTCGGGCCCACGCTCCTGCAGCCCGTGGCTGTGGCGGGTCAGTGTCTCACTTCCTGTCCATTAGGTGTGAACGTCCCAGGACACAGGGTGACGAGGGTGACGAGGGTGACGGCCCTGCCTCGTGCTCTGAGCCGCCGGTCCCGCCAACCCCCTCCTCTCAGGGCGGAGAGCATCAGAACCGCGGGCCCAGGCCCTGA